TGTGTCTGACCGCCCCCCCCTCCGTGTCACAGGGAGTGCTACCCGTCTGTGTCTGACCGCCCCCCCCCCCTCCGTGTCACAGGGAGTGCTACCCGTCTGTGTCTGACCGCCCCCCCCCCCCTCCGTGTCACAGGAAGTGCTACCCGTCTGTGTCTGACCGCCCCCCCCCCCCCTCCGTGTCACAGGGAGTGCTACCCGTCTGTGTCTGACCGCCCCCCCCCCCCCCCTCCGTGTCACAGGGAGTGCTACCCGTCTGTGTCTGACCGCCCCCCCCCCTCCGTGTCACAGGGAGTGCTACCCGTCTGTGTCTGACCGCCCCCCCCCCCCCCTCCGTGTCACAGGGAGTGCTACCCGTCTGTGTCTGACCGCCCCCCCCCCTCCGTGTCACAGGAAGTGCTACCCGTCTGTGTCTGACCGCCCCCCCCCCCTCCGTGTCACAGGGAGTGCTACCCGTCTGTGTCTGACCGCCCCCCCCCCTCCGTGTCACAGGGAGTGCTACCCGTCTGTGTCTGACCGCCCCCCCCCCCTCCGTGTCACAGGGAGTGCTACCCGTCAGTGTCTGACCGCCCCCCCCCCCCCCGTGTCACAGGGAGTGCTACCCGTCGCCGCTCAACTACTACCAGTTCCCCAAGAGCTGCTGCACCTCCGTCAACGAGGTCATCTGCCACGGGATACCGGACGCGCGGCCGCTCCAGTCGGGAGACATCTGCAACGGTCAGTGGCGGTCGGTCGCGGCGGACCAACGGTCAGTGGCGGGCGGTCGCGGCGGACCAACGGTCAGCCGCAGTGAACTTGTGGTCAGTCACGGCAGCAGTCAGTGACACCGTGACGTCTTCCACCATTGGCCATGTATCTACATGTATCTGTACATGTATCTGTATTCTGTACATATAACGTCTGCTGACCTCATGTTTGGCCTGTGCTAACCCGTCTGTGACGGCCCTACTGACCGTCTGTGACCTCCACTGACCGATGTCTGACCTCCACTGACCGGTGTGTGACCCCACTGACCCGTTTCTGACCTCCACTGACCCGTCTTACCTCCACTGACCGGTGTGTGACCCCCACTGACCGATGTGTGACCCCCACTGACCGGTGTGTGACCTCCACTGACCGGTGTGTGACCTCCACTGACCGGTGTGTGACCTCCACTGACCGGTGTGTGACCTCCACTGACCGCTGTGTGACCTCCACTGACCGGTGTGTGACCTCCACTGACCGGCCTGTGACGGCCCCACTGACCGGTGTGTGACCCCCACTGACCTGTCTGTGACGGGGCCCCACTGACCGGTGTGTGACCCCCACTGACCGGTGTGGGACCCCCACTGACCGGTGTGTGACCTCTGACCTGTCTGTGACCTCCACTGACCGGTGTGTGACCCCCACTGACCGGTGTGTGACCTCCAGTGACCGGTGTGTGCCCTCCACTGACCGGTGTGTGACCTCCAGTGACCGGTGTGTGCCCTCCACTGACCGGTGTGTGACCTCCACTGACCGGTGTGTGACCTCCACTGACCGGTGTGCCGCCAGTTGACGTCACCGTCTACCACCGCGGCTTCCACGGCGACCTGAACGAGACGTACCTGGTGGGCGAGGTGAGCGCCGAGGCGCGCGACCTGGTCAACGTCACCTGGCAGTGCCTCCAGAAGGCCATCGATATCGGTACGTGCCTACGGACCGGCCCTCGCTCCCTCCCCCGGCCCTCCCCAGTATACAGGGTGAAATGGTTAAATTGAGACAAATTCTGCTTTTCGATAAACTGCTGCCGATTCGCTGATTAACCGCCGCCGGGTACCTGTATGGTCAGTAACTGTCCCCTCCGTTGTCTGCCCGCCGCCCGGGTGCAGCTCTGTGAGGTCACTGACTGCCCGCTCCGCCGCCCGGGTGCAGCTGTGTGGTCACTGACTGCCCCCTCCGCCGCCCGGGGACAAGTCTTTGTGTGGTCACTGACTGTCCCCTCCGCCGCCGCCGCCGAGTACTCTGTATGGTCACTGACTGCCCCCTCCGCCGCCGGGTACCTGTATGGTCACTGACTGTCCCCTCCGCTGTCCGCCCGCCGCCCGGGTGCAGCTCTGTGTAGTCACTGACTGCCCGCTCCGCCGCCCGGGGACAAGTCTCTGTATGGTCACTGACTGCCCGCTCCGCCGCCGCCAGTGCGGCCCGGTGAGAAGTACCGCGAGATCGGTCCCCTCCGCTGCCCCCTCCGCCGCCCGAGTGCAGCTCTGTGAGGTCACTGACTGCCCCCTCCGCCGCCCGGGTACCCTGTATGGTCAGTAACTGCCCCCTCCGCCGCCGCCAGTGCGGCCCGGCGAAAAGTACCGAGAGATCGGTCCCCTCCTGTGTCCGCCCGCCGCCGGGTACTTTGTATAGTCACTGACTGCCCGCTCCGCCGCTCGGGTGCAGCTCTGTGTAGTCACTGACTGCCCGCTCCGCCGCCGCCAGTGCGGCCCGGTGAGAAGTACCGTGAGATCGGTAACGTGGTGCAGAAGCACGCCTCGGAGCGCGGCTACTCTGTGGTGCGCTCCTACTGCGGCCACGGCATCCACCGGCTCTTCCACTGCAGCCCCAACGTGCCGCACTACGCCCGGAACAAGGCAGCGGGCGTGATGCGGCCCGGGCACTGCTTCACCATAGAGCCCATGATATCGCAGGGTGAGTCACCAATAGTAACTTACCATAGAGCCCATGATATCGCAGGGTGAGTCACTATTGTACCATAGGGTAATAACTGACCCACCATAGAGCCTATGATGTCGCAGGGTGAGTCACTTACTGAATATAGAGGCCATGATATCGCAGGGTGAGTCACTTACTGAACAGAGTCCATGATATTGCAGGGTGAGTCACAAACTTACCATAGAGCCCATGATATCGCAGGGTGAGTCTTCTATAGTAACTCACCATAGAGCCCATGATATCGCTGGGTGAGTCACCAACTGAACACAGAGCCCATGATATCGGAGGTTTACTCACAGACTCACCATAGACTAGCCCACGGTATCACAGGGTGAGTCACTATCGCACCATAGGGTAAACACTGACGCACCATAGAGCCCATGATGTCGCAGGGTGAAATACCAACTGAGTGCCCCCGACTCCAGGCCCTGTCTCAGCCCTGACCCCGTGATCCCCGCCCTGTCCCAGCCCTGCGACCCCTGACCCGGCGTGTCACAGTCTCTGACGCCCTGACCGGCGCCGTGTCACAGTCCCCTGACCGCTGTGCCCGGCGCTCCGCCAGGGACGTGGCGCGACGAGCAGTGGCCCGACAACTGGACGGCCGTCACCGCCGACGGAAAGCTGTCGGCGCAGTTCGAGCACACGCTGCTGGTCACAGGTGAGACTGCCAGACAGACAGACGGACGGACAGACCAGACCAGACGGACTGTCGGCGCAGTTCGAGCACACACTGCTGGTCACAGGTGAGACAGACGGACGGACAGACGGACGGACAGACAGACAGACAGACAGACAGACAGCGCAGTTCGAGCACACACTGCTGGTCACAGGTGAGACAGACGGACGGACAGACGGACGGACAGACAGACAGACAGACAGACAGACAGCGCAGTTCGAGCACACACTGCTGGTCACAGGTGAGACGGACGGACGGACGGACGGACAGACGGACATGGCACTGTGTGACACGGTGCCGCTGTGTAGTGTGTGTGACCCGGTGCCGCTGTGTAGTGTGTGTGACCCGGTGCCGCTCTGTAGTGTGTGTGACCTGTTGCCCCTACATAGCGTTTGTGACCCGGTGCCACTTTGTAGTGTGTGTGACCCGGTGTCCCTACATAGCGTTTGTGACCCGGTGCCGCTCTGTAGTGTGTGTGACCCGGTGCCGCTGTATAGTGTGTGTGACTCGGTGCCGCTGTGTAGTGTGTGTGACCCGGTGCCCCTATATAGTGTGTGTGACCCGGTGCCCCTATATAGTGTGTGTGACCCGCTGCCGCTCTGTAGTGTGTGTGAGCCGGTGTCCCTATATACCGTGTGTGACCCGTTGCCCCTATATAGTGTGTGTGACCCGCTGCCGCTCTGTAGTGTGTGTGAGCCGGTGTCCCTATATAGTGTGTGTGACCCGGTGCCGCTGTGTACATATAGTGTGTGACCCGGTGCCGCTCTGTAGTGTGTGTGACCCGGTGCCCCTATATACCGTGTGTGACCCGGTCCCCCATATGGTGTGTGTGACCCGGTGCCGCTGTGTAGTGTGTGTGATCCGGTGCCACTGTAGTGTGTGTGACCCGGTGCCACTGTGTATAGTGTGTGTGACCCGGTGCCGCTGTGTAGTGTGTGTGACCCGGTGCCGCTCTGTAGCGTTTGTGACCCGCTGCCGCTGTGTAGGTGTGTGACCCGGTGCCACTGTGTATAGTGTGTGTGACCCGGTGCCGTTGTGTAGTGTGTGTGACCCGGTGCCGCTGTGTATAGCGTTTGTGACCCGGTGCCGCTGCGCCCGCAGAGACCGGAGTGGACGTACTCACCAAGCGGGAAGGCACCACGCTGCCGCGCTTCCTGGACTCGTCCTCGTGATGGCCGGCCGCCCGGCGCCCCGCCCCGCCCGCCGCGGGCTCCCCTGCTGTGCCGTGTTATCAATAAATTGTGCCGCTGAGCCGGCGTGTCCCTGTCCCGCCGCGCTGGCTGAACCCACACCGGGCGGTGAATCGCCGGCACCCCGGGTCAGAACAGCCCGCCGCGTGACTAGTGAATACAATGTGTAACTCGCGCTAACAAAATGTCTGAGCCTGACCGGACTTTACGGCACACATGGGGTATCGACAGAAGACGCACGAGGGTTCAGCCGACTGAGGGCACCCTCCACTGAGCACTGAGCTGCGGTCTCGTGGTAAGTACGGTAATGGTTCTCGATGAATCGCCCTCGTTCCAGCGGCGAGCTGTGGCCGCTGATCGGTGTGAGGTCTGTGACGGGTCAGCTGGTCACCCAGCCCCCGAGCCGAGCCAGACCGTGTCCGTGTCACCATCAGACCCAGACGAAACAGTCTCCCCACTACGAATCTCGCCCAATGTATTCACCGAACGGAAACCCACTGCCGTAACATGGTCACACCAACCAGCCAATCACCTGACGACCTCGCGCCGGCCGGCCAATCACCGCGCGGTGCCAGCTCCCTCGGCCAATCAGAGCGCGGCGGCAGCGTCCGTGAGCCAATCAGACCGGCAGAGCGACACGTGGATTCGCGGGTTCGATCCTTTACAGTGACAGAGTTTTCACGGCACGGAGTGCCCGCACGATCCGCCCGGCGGTTGTCGGATGAAGCCGCGGACACTGGAAGCTCGGGGTTAACAGTGGCGCGCCGTCCCCGGTCCGCGGTCCGTGGTCCGGCGCACAGTGTGGCCAAACGCCAGATTAGCGCGAATTAAATCAAAAAACGAATTTTGGAATTTTGACTTTTTATAACTATCAGTCGATAGGAAATTGTCCAAAGTATGTCAATAGCACAATACTTTGGTTCAATGTCTTCCCTTCGGTGTCCAAAAAGCTAGCTAAAGTGGACATACGCAATGCCGGTCCCGGCTGTGCTGAAATCGTCGAAAACCCGCGTCACGTTAACAACACATTTTGGCGTAATTGTCGGAAAGGTTCGGGAATAATTGGATTGGCATATGACTACTGAGCCTATATTTGATAGTATACCCGAATTCTATAGTTATCCTTGGACTAACCGATGAGCTATACTCATTTGAAAATGACCTTTTCAGACATCCCCTGAAAACACTGTCCATCTTAAAAACGTAGAGATATAAGAAAATGGCCAAAAAACTCCACGCCAAATCTACCATGAGAAGATTCGCCACACTTTTCTGGACATGATCCATTCAAGAAACCCTGCCCCAACCTGCCCCCCGGCCTTTGGCTCAGCTTTGAACGTATCGGGTTGGGCCGCCCGGGGAGGTCCGGCTACAGGGTGGGCGCGGCGGCGGCTCCGTAACGTGTTACGCGGATGGCTCAACCGCTGTATTTCTGACTTGTTATATTGCAGAATACGGTCGCCAATGAATAAATCTTGGCAATTTTTAACCCTCGCCCATATAGGGGGTGAGGGTGGGGGTCGAAAGGACCCCTCTCGGTTTTTCGCAAAAAGCTCATGTAAAAAGCGGCCAATCGCGACGAAACTTTCAGTACCCTCGAGTTTATCAATTTTACACCTAACCTTTAAATTTCACGACCCTGACCCCAATGACCTTTGACCTGTGACCTATTTCTCGAGACCGTGTTTGGCCGGAATCGCGATTGGGTGTATGTTTGCTTGCATTAGCCGCGCGTTTGCAGTCTTTTCGTGGTTTCAAGCGTCTTAACATGTGATATTATGATGTTCGTCCCATGCATTATGGTCAGTGACAAGATCACTTGAAGGTCAGGTCAGTTCAATGACCTTTGATGAGCTCGGTTCACCTTTTTTAGTTTTACATGCTTCCAGGCTAGTTTTTGGAGCTGATTTCGAATTTAGTAACCATTTGAACATTTAGGAAGACGTTTTGGTACCTTCGTAACATGCAACGAAGCTGTCACTGGCGGTTGACAGTTGACACCTATTAATTATGAATACCCGGCAGGACTGGTTGGCCTAACCTGACCTGACCCGACCTACGTTCGCGGCTAGCAAAACACCAATACCGCCGAGGGTTAATGACATGAAGGTGCTTATGGTGTAAGTCTTTGTTTTTACTCCCATTGCTGAGGTTCAATCCTATCGGTACGTGTATGTAGTTCAGCAACCGTCTACCGATTCACGTGCTTCACCAGGAACATTCACACAGAAACATAATTAGATGTTGATCTTTTTCAAGCAAACTTTGGACAATCATAAGAATTTACCAGAGAAATGATGGAAATTTCGTAAACGATTCCTCCTCCTAACATGCCCATCATTGCTGGGACCCACAATTTTATGCCTCTTATTTGCGGTTAAATTCCAGGATTTCGTAATCAGAGTCGGAGTCGCTCGGAGTCAACAGTTCTGACCCCAGTCAGAGTCGGAATCGGAATCGATTTTGGAATCCGGACCAAGACTCGTAGTCTTGAGTCACCGAAAATCCATCGACTGCGTGAACTTGCCATGGCTGCGGAGTCAGAGTCCGAGTTGATCGTATAAGTCGACAGTTTTGCCCGGAGTCAAAGTTGAAATTGACGTTTGAAAGCCGTAGTCGGAGTCGGAGTAACTCCATCGACTTCACAGCCCTGGTAAGCACATCACCCGTCGTAAGCTAGTTCTCCTTACTTTTAGAGGCGGAACTATGCCATTACCTATTTGTCAGCAAGCATTTATGATGCATCGTAAAGGGTCTCACATAGGTTTAAGTGTCAATTTTGAAACCAGCGAACCATTTTCAACGGATCCGAGCAGCGCTGGGATTAAATTCGCGCTAAACTGGTGTTTGGCCACACTGTGCGGCGGTCCGACGGCGCGGGACCGGCCAGCGTCCGGCCTGGTACGACTTCCTCCGGCGGCAGAGCGGACCAACACCACAGACTGCGCATACGCCGGCGGGCAGCGCCGCCTCCTACGGACAGGCCCGCCGCCTATAACGGGCGGGCCCGCGCCTTACAACCGGCAGGCCCTCCAATAACGAACAGGCCCTCCCATAACGGACAGAACCTCCTATAACGAGCGGGCCCGCTTGAGCAGTCTCGGCGTAACGGACAACAGACGCCGGCGGGGCCGGTAGTGGCGCGGCGAGGCGGGCGGTCGGGCGCCGTCCTAACACACACACACACACACACACACACACACACACACACACACACACACACACACACACACACACACACACACACACACACACACACACACACACACACACACACACACACACACACGGAGACGATCCCTCGGGCCGGGCGCCGTCCCAAAACACAGAGACGGTCCCCCGGGCCGGGCCACTCTTGACTTACTGCCCGGTCCTCAACCGGGACTGGCCTCGTACCGCACACGCCGCATCACCGCGCCAGACAGTCGCATATCACGCGTACCAGACAGCCTGATTGGCTCAGCTGCTCACCGCTCCGTAACGCACGGGAAGCACACATCAAACCTGCCTTAACTCCGCACCGGTCACCCGGGATCACACGTCACACACCGATCACCCGGAGTCACATCCATCACCGGGGTCACACGTCCCACACCGATCACCCGGAGTCACACATCCATCACCGGGGTCACACGTCACACACCGATCACCCGGAGGTCACATTTCACACATCAATCGCCTTTCCCCTGCACATTTCTCTCCGCCAAAATTCGCTCTCCACTCACCGAGTCCATCAGAGACCGCCAGTCGCAACAATCAACACTTGCCCCGGGCGCCCCGTCACAACGCAGAACCAACAACTGATCGGAGACAGCGCTGAGCACAGACTGATCGCGGGTCCCAATTGAAAGGATATCTCTCGGCTGACCGCTAAAATGCCGCGCAGAACACCCCATTGCCGTCCAAAATTACACCGCACACAAGGGATCATGAACTGTAGCGCCAACCCAGTACAGGGGTAACTCAGCCGGCGAGAGAAACCTGACGGCGGAAAGACTGGGTGGTCTGCTGTGGAGCGGCCGGCCAGCCGGGTCCCCGGGAGGCCAGCCGGAGCCTTTCGGAGCGAGCGGAGAACGGGAGCACGGCGTCCTGACTGAGCGCCGCACGTGAGAGGAACACAGCACAGACACAATAGACACAACAGACACAGCACAGACAATAGACATGGTGGTAGTGCGGCAGACACAAGAAGACGGCAGACACACTAGGAACACGGCTCGGGAGCAGGCACGCAGCGGCGGCGGCCGACACGGCCGGGCGCGGAAGGGGCGTTATGGAGGAGTTCAGCCGACGCCAGACTGGCAGCCGGGAGGGAACCGGGATATACGTACATAGTTGCATGGAAGCTACGGAAACCCACGAGGCTATCGAGGGTTATATGGTCATATACGATCAAACCTGTCGAGTCTCAAGGGATATCAATTGACCGAGGCTGGGCAGCGGACAGTGACGGGGAGGGCCCGGTGTGTGTAAGGATCCCTTTAGGTGTGAGGGTCCCCGCTAGGTGTGAGGGTCCGTTCATCAGGAGCGGGAGGACCCTGCCCGCGGGGAACGGGACAGGCTGGACCGCCGGACCGGGGAGGCCCGGCCGGCCGGCTGTAGCCGCCGCGGGCCCCACAGAGGCAGCCCTACCGTCCGGCTGAGCGGATCACATCACCGGCAGCCCGGCCGACCGGCTGAGCGGATCACATCCCCGGCAGCCCGGCCGGCCACCGCACCGCTCCATTCCACCGCGAACACGACCGTCAGCCCAGCAGTCAACGGGTAACCGGCACCCAGCTAAATCACTTATAGTCGTAAAACACTGCGCAGTCAATAGTGATATCAATCAGAATATGGTCAATAACTGGTAATTCATTCATGTCATGACCTAAGAAACAGAAAACGATTGTGTCCGGGGAGTAATAACACGCCGCTGCCGGAGGCGGGCAGCGGACAGGACCCTGTTCACGCGGACACACACAGACACACAGCCAGAGGCGGCGGGGGCGGGTCACCAGCCGTCCCAGACCACACAGGAGGTACAGAGACGGACAGACACCGACCCAACACCGCACCGTACCGCGCATACACCCTCCGACAACAGACTGCAGGACGAGACTATAAAAACACCGAGAGGTGACGACCTAAAACCAGCTCATACCGCCCACCGCAGGGCCGCATATTAGAGGAGACGTAACCGAGCGTAACACCCTGTCAGTGGCCGGGACTGCGCCGCCCGCGACCTGCACTCGCGTGGCTCGACATTGGACTGTGCGCCAGCAGCGCCCTCAGAACAGACACCAGTCTGTGAGGTCACCGCCCCAGACTGCAGCACAGACTGACACCGGGGTCCGGCCCTCACTGCCCCAGACTGACACACCGGGGTCCGGCCCTCACTGCCCCAGACTGACACCGGAGTCCGACCCTCACTGCCCCAGACTGACACCGGAGTCCGGCCCTCACTGCCCCAGACTGACACACCGGAGTCCGGACCTTACGGTCTCTCACACCGGCCGGCACACGCGCGGACAGTCTGACACCGGCCGGCACACAGTCTCTGGCAGCACGGGAGCCCCGCCCCAGCGGCAGACAGTCTCTGGCAGAGGCGGAGCCGGCCCGCGCCTTGGTTCTAGCCTAGCGCGCCGGCGGCCCTCAGGTGGCCTTGTCGTTACGCTCCGGCTTGCTCTTGAGCAACGAGAGCAGCGAGTTGAGACTGAACTGGGTGTTGAGCGGCTTCTCCAGGTGGGCGGGCGGCAGGTGGATCTGGGGAGAGACGCAGAGAGACAGACTGTCAGACGGAGAGAGACAGAGACACGGGGAGGTGTCAGACGGAGAGAGACAGAGACACGGACAGACTGTCAGACGGAGAGAGACAGAGACACGGGGAGGCTGTCAGACGGAGAGAGACAGAGACACAGACAGACTGTCAGACGAAGAGAGACAGAAACACAGAGAGGTCAGACGGAGAGAGACATACACGGGGAGGATGTCAGACGGAGAGAGAGACAGAGACACGGACTGTCAGACGGAGAGAGACAGAGACACAGAGAGGCTGTCAGACGGAGAGAGACAGAGACACGGACAGACTGCCAGACGGAGAGAGACATACACGGGGAGGATGTCAGACGGAGAGAGAGACAGAGACACGGACTGTCAGACGGAGAGAGACAGAGACACAGAGAGGCTGTCAGACGGAGAGAGACAGAGACACGGAGAGGTTGTCAGATGGATAGAGAAGAGACACGGGGAGGTGTCAGATGGATAGAGACAGAGACACGGGGAGGTGTCAGATGGATAGAGACAGAGACACGGGAGGCTGTTAGAGACTCGACAGAGATACAGAGACAGACAGAGAGAATGTCAGGGACCAGCAAAGACAGAAAGCACAGACCGACAGATGCACGGACACAGATACTGCGGGACACGACCACGGAGGCTGTCAGAGACACCATGGCTGCCAAGCCAGTGACTCGTTCAATAAAACTAACACCTAACTAGGGTCTGACTTTGACCCAGAGGGACCCCAGCTCTGTGACTGTGGGCCGTGGGGGGTCTGTCACCTGCAGGGGGTCCCGGAGCTGTGTGTGTGTGTGGGGGGGGGGGGGGCTGTCACCTGCAGGGGTCCCGCAGCCGCTGTGTGCAGGGGGTCCCGGAGCTGTGTGTGAGGGGGAGGCTGTCACCTGCAGGGGGTCCCGGAGCTGGGGGGGGGGCTGTCACCTGCAGGGGGTCCCGCAGCCGCTGTGTGTGTGTGTGGGGGGGGGGGGCAGTGTGGCCAAATCCATTTTGCGTTTGGGGGAGGATGTAGAAAAAAAGCCGCCAGAGGATGTAACTATTTTTTTGAAAAAATGGTCTACTGATTTTTTTAAGTTCTAATTTTCATAGAAAAGGTGGGAAATGGCCTTACTAACATTCAGTACTGATGTATCTTTGAATAAAGCACTTCAGTGATACATATGTAGAAATAGCAATCCTTTTTAAGACAATCGTTTAATAGGAACAACTTCAACGGCCACTGGTCATTTGCCAACCACCACCTTCCCGATGCTGATTCTCCTTACTCTATTCCAGGCATATTCCTCATCCATTCCTGAAAGAAGATCGCGAGCCTTCCAATTTCCAAGCACTCCTGTCATCATCGTGAACCTACGAATCCATCAAGATCCCTACTGCCAGATGACCTCGGACACCGACGTCTGCTCCCCGAAGATACAGCTGCGCATACTGCATAACTATTCACGTTTTATAAAATGTAAATGCATAGTGCTGTGTTTAATAGGTTACTCTCGAATCAATCGAATTAATCGACTATACGACCATTTCTGAATCAGTTATTGTATCAACATTGCATCAGTATAGGAATCAGAATTGCATCGATTATGAGAACTAAGAAAAGTTATCACTAATATAAAATGTTGACCGATATGGCCAGTGGCCAGTACAACTCCCGATGTCATCCTCGACATTAATGTCCTAGTGCATATCCCAGAATCCAACCGCAACTGTGATCTTGGGTTCAATGTGTGCGATGAATTTACTCATTACTGTGTGTAGTAACGGCAACTGAGGGGAAAATAAAATGCAATAAGGTACCGAAACGTCCATATCGCCGATCTTTTTTTGGGCTGGGTAACACTGAACTAGAAGAGTTGGTCGAACGGATGAGATGAGCGCATTTTGTCACCGTTATATCGCTGGCCAGATCGCAAATCCATATCCAGACGAGACAACATATGTCGACGAGCTGCACCAACTAAGGTGATGAGTCCGCACCAGCCCGACGGACTCTAACAGAGCTAACAGAGCTGGAAAAACACACCTACATCTAGCAAGACCTAGAGCTATTACTGAATAGGTCATAAAATATTTACCAGCTTATCACACTTTTTTAGGGGAAAACACCATAGCCGGTCATTTCGACGCGTTTTTTCCAAACCCTGATCTTCTTCCCGTGAATTGCCCGGAAGCACGAAAAATCCAATTTAAAAAGTCCAATCAATTATTCGATCCTGATCAAGTATCAAGCATGTGAGCTTGTTCTGACATTGCTTGATCTGCTGAGACAGACAAACTTCAGAAAACCGAGTCACTGTATTTTACTCAAGCTTTTTTCAACCTGTCGGAAATTTACGTGAGAACAGATACCTATAGAGTTTGAAGGAAAAAAACACGGCGATTTATTCCCTGCTCAACCTGTTGTGGGTCTCATAGTTCACCCTATCATTTCCTTTTCCTAGCACTACAGGGTATGTGCTCAGTCTCACACCGAAGTTCACGATACCATGTTGGTTGGGCACAAAAAAAATCGTACCACACGACAGCGGATCAGCTGTGCTGTACAACACACCAGCGTCTAGCTGAGTGCATTCACGCCGACATCTCATCGAGATTGTCATGCTTTGCAGGTAAGGAGTCTATGGTAGGTTCACAAATCAGTCACATGAGTCACGAATGGTGGTATGACTGACTGGGGCCAATTCACCAATCAGTTCGATTACGAGTCTGAACGCATAGTGCACGGCGCGTCTTGGTTGTTTCGTTTTGGACGTCTGCCAGTAGGTGGCTCTGTAAACACCACAACCTAGTCAATAGATGTCGCCATAATGTACTATGCAGTTGTTGTGAAGTTGAAAAGATTTCATAATGTACCTATATTGCTCAGTATTTTCCTCATTAATTAAAACACCCCTCACCTAGGTACCACTGCAATTATAAGTAGTGTTTTGCAATGAATAAGTGCCTAGTTATGTTGAATTAGAAATGTAGATCGCTTTAAATTTACACACAGCTCCAAATCCCTGAAATGATTAGGTACCATCTGAATCAGATCAGGCTTCAGAATGAAGCAGTTCAATACATCATCATAGTTCAAATGGTGTTTGCAAATGCCAGAATGCAGTTTCTTCATTAAGATTTTTTCACACACTAAAGCAATGATTGATGTAATGAAATCTGCATACCCGTCACATCTGCCTTCACATTAACATTTCATCAAATGTCCAATATTAACAGATCACTCCTCAATATAAGAAATCTTTAGTAAATGTGAATATGAAGTCCAGTGAATATTTTGAACATAACCTAACCTGATGTAACCTTACCTAGCTACCTATCAACCTAAAACTTTCAACCTGGCTGTCCCAACTCAAAACCTATTACCTACAACCTACAACCTTAAGCCCACAACCTATCTACACATAAACCAAATTTTATCATACCAGATACCTATATATATATCAATCTGTAAGAATCTGGCCAGATGCCTACATTTCTTTCAGTCAGAATGCACAGAGTAGATGGGTGGTAACTAGTAATGAAAAATCTTTGAAACTAGAGGGTTTTTACTAGCAATGACAATGTCATTGCTGAGGTGCTAATCCAAAATATTAATAATTAACTTAACAGAACCAGCCAACATCACTGGAAATGTCTTCTGAGTTCTGATTGTTGGTTGGTTGTTGTTTTTAGGTAATATGTATTTTTGAAGTATATGAATGTATCAAATCAGATAAAATAACAGATGCACACAAATGAAATTTTAACTGATGCCTTATATATTTGTGAATGAGCTCAACATCCAGGTTCGGTTGCGGATTCCTGATGATGGCAAGAGCTAAAGGCTCGAAATGCTGAGAAACGTTCTTACCTGAGGCTGTGTTCCTGTTCCATGCTTCTCCAAAGCAATCTCAGTCTACGCTCTCCACCTACAAATAACAAACGTGCATGCATAGACCAACATCATCCCAACTTTAACTGAGATCTTTCCAGGATCAAGGTCTTAGGTCCCTGTACCTTATAGCTTGCAAGTATTGCTATCAGTTCTATTACAATTACGCTTCTATCAAATACTGAAATAAGGCAACAAGGCCACAACACAACACTGCTTGTCTATTCAATTTAATTTCTCGAATCGTTTGTATGGAGCAAATGTTTCGGTTTTCCTCGTCTACAAAATATTGTACAAGATTATCAATCTCGACGCACCTGTCGAACTTCGCGGCCTCCGTATTACCATGGATGAAGTAGTACCATGTAGGTAATCCATGGTATTACGTCACACGATTTCAGAGATTTTCGGCAGAAAAACTTCCGACATCCCTAAAACAGCGGCTCACGAAAGCCAGCCAAACGTGAAAATTAAGACAATACAGCCGGTAAAATGATGATAATATTGTAGGGAAATCAATAAAGCATGATATATGTGAATACCAAATCACAAAAATGGTTTTTCACAGTTTGGCGAAGAGTTGAAGTTAGGGGTTGTTAGGGGTAGAATTTCGCCAAAACAGGCGAAGGATGTCATTATATTTGAACATGTCAAAATAGAGTATTGTGGGCTTAATATCAGTTTTGATGCATAGGTGGGCATAATTCATCAATTTTCTTTCACTTTGTATAACATTTAGCTCGTAAAATGAGCCTGGGAATTAACAATTTCATTTCTTCAGAAGCCATTTTTTTCCGCAAAATCAGCGGATTTTTCGCATGAAAATGACGGAAGTTTACGGGGCTCAAAAACAAGCATTTCGCATATTTTCCAAGAAAATGACCGCGTATGCAATGTATTATTTCATTTTCTTTCGTATTATCTAATTTTCTCGTCTTGGTTTGGTCGATTAGCGGTGCTGTCCCCATTATAAGTTAGGGGTTGTTAGGGGGAAAATAACGACTTCCTTCGGGATTTTGACTTCCCGATAACGACTTCCTTTTTGGCCACCGGTGACGTAACAGGCTGAACAAAGCACGCCAGGGCGGTGGTGCATGATGTATGAAGAGTCAACAGGGGATTATTGTGTCTTTGATGGCCTTGAATCTCGAACGACTGCTTGTGTTGTGGACGCTGTGGATGCATTGGTGTTGTGTCCGAGGGGTTTGTGCTTATCCTGATTTTCAGTGGTTGTGTTTGAGCTTAGTTTTGCTTTTATTCTTTGCGATCAATTGATAACTATTGTATATTAATCCGAGTCTGGTCCAAGGCTATATGCTGTATCTGTGCTGGGTGAGCAGCGATTGAAATTGAAATTGAAATAGCCTAGTTGTTTGTACAATTCAATTTGTGATTTCCTTACCAAACCTGTGCATGTTGTTTGGTAGGTAAGTACAAACTCAGCTCCAAAAGTCAAGACACTGGAATATAATGCAGTTTTTATTTTGTCACAATCACATCACCCATGCAGCATCAGCATGCTGATTTCAACTGCTAATGCCATGCACCTATATTTTATATCAATATTGCCAGAACATAAGAATATGAATATTGCTTAAAATTGTATATGCCTATATTCAAATTGGCGCTCATTGAGACAGAGGTATTTTATGACCTAGCAAGAAGTTGCCAAACACATTGATGCTTGCAGAACAGTATGATATATTTAAGTGAAAAAGTCGTGAGGATGTCTTTTTCCCAATTTTTAGGATGTCATTATCCTTTTCATTAGGGGAGGATTTCCCCACAACATTGCCAATTTGGCCACACTGGTGGGGGGGGGGGGGCTGTCACCTGCAGGGGGTCCCGCAGCCGCTGTGTGTGTGGGGGGGGGGGGGCGGGGGGTCACCCGCAGGGGTCCCGTCCCGGAGCTGTGGGACGGGGGTATTTTCACCTACAGGGGGTCCCGGAGCTGTGTGTGGGGGGATCTGGGGGTCCCGGAGCTGTGTGTGGGGGGATCTGGGGGTCCCGGAGCTGTGTGTGGGGGATCTGGGGGTCCCGGAGCTGTGTGTGTGTGTGGTGTGTGCAGGGGGGGGGGAGCCTGTCACCTGCAGTGGGTCCCGCAGCCGCCGCAGGTCCTGCTCCAGCCGGTAGATGGAGTCCCGCAGCTCGTTGTAGGCCTGTACGTCCAGGCCGGACTTGCGGCTCTTCTTGTAGAAGGACAGCAGGAAGGAGCGGTCCTTGACGTCGGGAAGCACGTAGTCCTGGCGGCCGGACGGCGGACGGCGTCAGTGGTAAACTCACAGCACACAGTCTGTATACAACACACCACAGCTACCACAGACCGGCCGGGCGGCGGACGGCGTCAGTGGGGGGCTCACAGCACACAGTCTGCATATGACACACCACAGCTACCACAGACCGGCCGGACGGCGGACGGCGTCAGTGGGGGGCTCACAGCACACAGTCTGTATACAACACACCACAGCACCCCCCCCCCCCCTCCCCGAGACCGGCCGGGCGGCGGACGGCGTCAGTGGTAAACTCACAGCACACAGAGTCAGCATACAACACAGCGCGGACACCCTGGAGGGCGGACACAGCGCGGACACAGCCTGCCGATCCGACACACAGCGGCTACCGTACTGCAGGCCGTGGATCTCTCACCTGTTTGGTGATGACGAAGTAACCGTAGGCGGCCATGGCGGTGCCGTAGGTGACGAAGTAGGTGACGGGCTCCATGATGTCCCACGAGTACTCCCACCAGGTCAGCCGCGCCAGGATCCCTGGACGGCGGGGTACATCGTCAGTACCTACATTAACAGCCGGTCAGTACAGTACGCGCCAGGATCCCTGGACGGCGGGGCACATCGTCAGTACATCAACAGCCGGTCAGTAAATAGCACTGCCTCACTACTCAGTACAGCGACCAGTTACCTTCAGCCGGTACTGACTGTTACGTCACCTAAAACAACGGCAACAATAAAACCATGAATAATGTCAGTGCCAGATATCTCCACTATAGGAAGCAGCCCAGTTTGTTACACTGGCGGCGCACTCCGCTATAGGCGGCGGCTCGCGTGCCGGTCTCACCGAACTGGACGCCCATCAGGCCGAGGCCCAGCCAGGTCTGCAGGTTGGTCCGCCGGTGGCACGCCTCCTCCAGCTCCTTCTTCTTCTGCGGACGGTCAAAAGACGGGCGGTCAAAAGACGGACGGTCAAAAGACGGGCGGTCAAAAGACGGACGGTCAAAAGACGGACGGTCAAAAGACGGACGGTCAAAAGACGGACGGTCAAAAGACGGACGGTCAAAAGACGGACGGTCAAAAGGCGGACGGTCAAAAGACGGACGGTCAAAAGACGGACGGTCAAAAGACGGACGGTCAGAGGGACGGACGGTCAGGGGGGCGGACGGTCAAAAGACGGACGGTCAAAGTGACGGACGGTCAAAAGACGGACGGTTAAAGTGACGGACAGTCAGAGCCGGGACAGAGGGACGGGCGGTCAGAGGGCCGGTCAGAGGGGCGGGCGGTCAGAGGAACAGTGAGGGTCGGTCAGAGGGAGGGACAGAGGGGGCGAGCGGTCAGAGGGGCGGAGACAACCGGAGGGACCGGACGGCCAAAAGGACGGGGGTAGTTGGACAGACAAGAATCAATGTGTCCAGTGTCCACACATCTCCTCTCCTGACTCTGTTCCCACAGCCGTCTCTATCCGTCCGTCAGTCCCGCTCGGAGCGGTGAACAGTCTGACCCACCTTCTCCATGGGCGCCAGCTGCACCTTGAGGTCCTCCAGCTTGGCCAGGATCTCGCGCTCCTTTTTCAGCTGGTGCTCCTCCACGTTGAGCGCCTCGTACAGCTGCGACACCAGGTTCCGCACGTTGGAGAGCGTGGTGAGCTCCTCCTGCGGGCGGCACACAGTGACCGGGGTCAGCGCGGCACGGACAGCACGGACAGCCGGAGTCAGCGCGGCATGGTCAGCGCGGACAGCCGGAGTCTACGGCACACAGTGACCGCGGTCAGCGCAGCATGGCCAGCGCGGACGGTAGGGACAGTAGGGACAGCATGATCACCCGGGGTCAGCAGAGCACAGACAGCAGAACACGGACAGACGGGGTCAGCGCAGCACGGACAGCGGCAATGGCCGTAAAAAAACTCAGTATGACCCCGTACCGCCCACCCCGCGTGCGCTGAAAATGCGCTCTTTGTGATGGTGATAACTGAACCGCTCTCTGTGAATACGTCTGGATTATCTAACGGCTTTCGCTGATTAAAGTAGGCGGTGAAATATGATCGGATGAAAGGCAAGATGTGGCTGCGGTCTGCAGACCGACCAGATATGTTCAGAAAAGCGGTAACATGTGGTCTGATAGATGGTATCATGAATGAGCCTTCCGGTGACTACCTGTACATAGGACGGCCCAGAGTGCTTGTCGAACTAGAAAAATACTACCTCGAGTTGCTTAACGGCCATCTTAGATCTAAAACTGTATGTGATCGTCGACAATAATGGCGAGAGAAAAGTCCCCCCCCCCCCCCTATCGACTATAAACAGCACTATCGGCTATATTACTGACAGATGTTCCTGTGTCAATTGACCTCTCGACTATATGACTATATGACACTGACCGGGTGCTGCCACTCTCGCCCACCGGACCCCCTAATTCCTCTAAGCCCCAGACGCCACTTGATTCTCTCTCCGGCGACTGTAGACGCCGCCCGGTCCCGCCCAGTACACGGCACGGGGATTGCCGCGCCGTTTGGCGCCAAATTGGCCAACACTCATCTGCATAATGAGCGCCGAGAGCCGTCGCGCAGACGGCGCCCCGCTCCGGACGGTAACAACGGCCACGGCGCCCCGCTCCGGACGGTACCGCAGACGGCGCCCCGCCCCGGACGGTAACACCGGGCGGCGGCGCCCGCTCCGGACGGTAACACCGGGCGGCGGACGGCTCCGGACGTTATCGCGCAGACGGCGCCCCGCTCCGGACGGTACCGTCGGACTGCAAATGGCACCGGCCCGCGCCGGGTGCCTAGTCACATGTGGTATCCTGCAGTGACCTCCCCTCCCCGCGGTATCGGCGAGGGCCGATATTGACCTCCCTGCCCGCGCGCTATGTACGTACCTGCGAGGGCCGCTCCAGCTCTGGCGTCTTGACGTGGTAGACGTCGTCGTTGATGATGAGCTCAAAGTCCTCCTCCATCAGCGCCTCGATGCTGTCGCTGGTTGCGATCCGCGTCCCGCCTGCCGCCGGACAGATAGGCAGTCAGGCTGGGACAGATAGGCAGTTAATGGGCAGAGCGGCAGCTACACTGGTGGAGATCCGCGTGCCACCTACCGGACAGATGGTTAGCTGTTAGGCTGGTGTCTGGTGGGACGGCAGTTACGCTGTTGACACTGTGTCCACCAAATGCTATGCAGTGTCCACAGCCAGTCAGAGTCAGAGCCAGTCAGCGCCCGCAGTACCTCCGCAGTTTCCGCAGCAGGTACTCACGCAGTGTCCGCAGCCAGTGTCTGCAGTACTCACGCAGCGTCCGCAGTATTTACTCATGCAGTGTCCGCAGCACCACGCAGCACCCGCAGTATGTACTCACGCAGTGTCCGCAGCACCCGCAGAATGTACTCACGCAGTATCCGCAGCACCCGCAGCATATACTCACACAGTGTCCGCAGCACCCGCAGTATGTACTCACGCAGTGTCCGCAGTGCCCGCAGTATGTACTCACGCAGTGTCCGCAGAGCCCGCAGTCAGTACTCACGCAGTGTCCGCAGCACCACGCGGTCGATGCCGCGGTCCTCAGTGTGCAGCTGGTCGATAAAGTCGCCCACCGTGTTACTGATGGGTTTCAGGGTGAAGCGGCACTTTTCCCGCCGCGACGGCAGCGGCACGGTGATCTGCGGCAAGCCGCGCGAGTAGGCCACCTCCACACCTGGCGGCAGAGGGGGAGAGAGCTTCAGACAGGGTACAATTATACAGGGAACTCAGACGGGGAACAGGGAGCTCAGACAGGGTACAGGGACCCCAGACAGGCGCTAGGCAGTAGAGTAGGGGGAGGGCTGTCACTTGTCAGGTCAGGTCAGGTTAAGCTTGCCCAGTGGACGGTGGACGCCCGCTAGTTGCGTGCCGCGCTGTGATTCTGAGCGGCGGCAGTGCCACTCGGCACCGGCGGCGCGCCAATACCGTCCCACAGTACAACACAGCACAGCATAATACAATACTGGCCGGCCGGCCGCTCCAGGCCCGGGCAATGGGCCGAGGAGCGGCCCGTCCAATGGCACAGACACACGCCTCAAACGGTAACTGCCGGCCGCACGCAGCGCCCTGCCCGGTGACACAAAGACACGCGCCTCAAACGGTAACTGCCGGCCGCACGCAGCGCGCAGGTAAAGCACGGAAAATCGGGAGCGATCGTTCAACACGAGCATACCTAATACCTAAGGCCTACCACTGCGCTGACCTCTGAAGAAAACCGTGGGAGGAGAAGGGGGCGGCTGCTGCATGTCCCTAAAATCTCGAATGCCGTTCAGGTCCGGAGTAAAGGTCAGGAGGCGCGGCGGGCTGCGTCCCAGCTCCATTGCCGCGGGCTCCGGTCGGCCGGTCCAGCCCATTGAAATGTCCGGCGACCGGAGACGGGCTCTCAGCCGGAGCCATGAGACCTCCTCCCACTTGGCTGAATGAGGCGGCCGGGAAGGGGGAGGTCACGGCACTCAGTAAGTAGGATGTATGGGACCCTTCCGACAACGCTGAATGAAGCGTCCGGCGGCAGCGACTCGCTCCAGACGCAGACAATCGATACACCGACAGCGCTGGGAGACACACGGCCACGCCGCTGAGACAGGCCGTCCGGCCGGCCCCACCCGAGCCGCCGGCAGTGGGGGGGGGGGGGGGAGCCGCCGTGACCCGAGCCGCCGGCAGCTCCCACGTGAGCGGCCAGTCGGCGGCAAGTCTGAGGTCAGGGTCACGCCTGTGTGCGGCGCCGACCGGCCAGCCGCGGGCTGGACGGCAGCCTCCGGCGACTACAGCCGCACTCCCAGCGACACCCCGGCACCGTGAGAAGCCGCCCGGCCCCGTCCCGCAGCGAACCACGCAGGCCGGCCCCGCCCCGCAGTCCCGCCCGGCCCGGCTTCGTCCCGCAGCGAACCACGCAGGCCGGCCCCGTCCCGCAGCGAGTCCGACAGTCCACCTACGGAGTCGCCGGCGGGGCGCACGGAGCCACAGCCTGCCCGACACCGCACTCCACCGCCGAACCACTAGGTCCCGCTGGCGCTGCAGTGTAACGCAATGCCGCATATCAGCAGGCGACAAGCACGGTTTACCACGTTTTCGACACGGAATTGAAATCAGTTACGAAAGTCGAAATGAGAAGGGTATAGGTATGTATGTATAGTAAGCTGTCACGCCTAGGAGGGCGCGGCCTTCCGACCGGGCCCCTGTCGACGGCGTCACGGAGTCACGGCGTCACGACCGGCGGCGGGCCGTGACGGCCCGGGACACGGTCAGCCTGCGTGACGCGTCACGGTGCGTCACAGCCTCGTCAGCGGCCGTCACACGTTTAAACCTGCACCGGCGGCCGTCACAGGCTAAACCTGCACCGGCGGCCGTCACACGGTCCAACCTGCCGCGGGGGCATTCCACGTCAAGTGAGACAAAAAATGACCATTTTGAACCTCACCCCCTCCGATTTTTGCGAAACTTTGTGAAACTACTCATCTATATGTGAAAAGAAAGGAGACATGTTTTTGTAAAGATATGACGTCACGTTTCAGAGATACACGTCATCAAACATTGACTTAGGCAAGGCACATTATCATCTTTCAAGCGTCATAACCATTGAAGTTTTAGACATATCACCATGAAACAAAGTGTGAAATGGAGGGAATACATCAGGCTTTAATTTGAGGATGACAATATTGACGTAATAAGCTAATTAATGAACTAAATTAAAATTCAAAAAATAAATTTTGATTTTCTGAAAAATGGGTACCCTTCGATTTTGCTGATTTTTACATATTTTATTCTCCCATATATTAGCTACATCATATAAAAAATCCAGAATGGGCCGACGTCTACGTAACTGTCTTTTGGACTTCGTAATGTCTGGCACTCGCGTGTTTCGTTTTAGCAACCAAGGAGAGGCGCTACCCGGAGATGCTTCTTTCTACCCAAAACCAAGGCAAACCTAGCCTGACCTGACGTGACCTGACCTAATCTAACACGCGTAAATATGTACAGCCCTCACGGCAGTTGCCGACTGGGCAAATGCTACCCAAATGCCCGGAGAATGCAATTGGGCAATGGGCATTCTCTGGGCAGCGCCTCTCTTTGGTTGGAAAAAGGAAATACGCCTGACTCTCCCAGCGCTAGGGGAGAAAGGCCCGGTTTAGCCAAAAAGGTATTAAAAAAAAAAAACGGAATTTGAATTGTAGGTGGGGCGGTGGGGAACTTTATCGTGTGCCAATTTCATGGCCCTAGATCAATATCTTCAAGATCAAATGAGGTTAATCGTGATGAAATTTGCTATAGTGACTATTTTGCGTTTATACGCCCATAGCTCTAAGAGTTACCGGCCGATTTTCCTATTTCTTCCTTTATACGACATTTGTAGTGTTATGAGAATCTATAGTTAATCTAACCATAAATTTGGCAGTTAGTGGCCTGCTAAGAGTAAGAAGATGTCGCCGGCAAAGACGGGGATCGGCCGACGCGGGAAACGTTTCAGTCAAAGATTGTGTTTGCACCCTAATAACTAATTCAATTTTTACCAGTTGATTTTCGTATTTATTTGAACATTAGATTGCCTGTACATTTTTAAGCCTTCACACAAAATTTGACACGAATCGATCATAATCAGCGGTAAGAAGCGCAGTGCAAAGATGGAACCGTCCCGCGCCGGCACAGTCTACCATTCAGGCGGCAACGGCCGGCGCCGGCCGCCGCGCCGCTCCGGCAAGATGTTTGACTTTACACCGTTATTACTAGAAAAGTTGTGGACCGATTTACCTATTGCTTGCACGGGAGGATTTGCAATTCAATTCTGGACAGATGCTGAAAGTTTGGCGTTAATATGATAATTATGGCGTGAGTTACTGGCGAAAAACAGGTGGGGTTGGCGAAATCAGCCCCTTCCATCGCCCGTGCTACGTTGCACTACTTGTTGCTATATCATCCAAAGTTATCGTTGGCCCACTCTAATTTTCTCAGCACGTATGCCTTACGTGTAGTGGAAGACAATATCTAAATTTGAGCAAAATCGAAGGGTACCCTTTTTTCACAAATTAGATTTTAAGAAATTAATTCAAAATAAGATAAATTCAAAATCACCAAAAAATGTTAAAATTGCCAAATTTAACTAGCATAACTCCTTATGTACACGTTTCAGTTTGTTTGAAATTAATAGCTTCAAAAATGTTGAAGCTATAGATCTTTCAAGATTGCAATACACGTCCAATTCTGCTAAAAAAGCAAAAGTTTAGCGGCTTGTATCTCTGTAGCCCGAGGGCATATGACAAAATCCTTTGACCCTCAGAGGTTTCACCCAATAGCCAACAAGTATACCAAGTTTGAACAAAATCGCAGAGGTGGCCGATTTTGGCTGTCCCGGTTGACATGGAATGCCCCCGCGGCGGCCGTCCGAGCGGTGCGTCTGGCCGGCCTAACCCGACTGCCGATATTTCGCCGGACGCTGTCGAATTTTGGCCGGACAGTCGGGTCAGTGCGGCGGACAGGCGGGTCAGCGCGGTGGCGGGCACACGCTCTGTCCTCCGACACAGACGGCATGCACACACAGCACACGGCACAGAGGTCTGCGGAGGGAGGGCGGCACCAGGGCGCATTGCACTACTCAACAATCAGCATCACGGGCCCGTGCTCCCTGGGAGGCCGGCCGATACCCCTGCTGGTCAGACGCGGCCGGGCCACTGCTCTGTCCAGGCCCGCGGGACTACGGGAGCGAGTCCGTAGGTACCCAGTTATGGCAGTAATCTGCAGGAGGTATATCTGCAGGAGGTATACCCGACCGCCGACAGCACACCCCCGGTGTCCGGGTACCATCTCGGGGCAGCGGTTTGGAGCGCTCTCCGCGCGGCTCAATTTCCGCACCGCCGAGCGGCCATCCATTCTAATCAGCTGCTAATGGAACGGTCCGCGCCGACGACGGGTACGGGCTGCAGACGGGACCGGCAGCGTACGGGACCGGCAGACGGGTCGACAGGCAGCGTACGGGACCGGCAGCGTAAGGGGCCGGCAGACGGGACCGGCAGCGAACGGAACCGGCAGACGGATCGACTGGCAGCAGGCGGGACAGGCAGTAGTCTCGTCCCCTCCCTCCCCGTCCCATCGCCTCCCCCTCCCCAGGACAGAGTCCGCTCCCGTCCCATACCTCGTAACATGGGGATACGGTAGCATATAATGCAGATTGCAGTCCATGCGTCATACATGAAAGAGCTGCAGTATGTATCCAGAAGCAGGACGGTACGAACCACGCCCTCCACCTGCAGGCTCGTTGTGCAGCCCCTCCCCTCAATTCCACTGTTGTGGAGCCCCTCCCTCCCTAATGTTGTGGACTCTACCCCACCCTCTCGGCTCGCCGCCGCGGGGCCAGCAGCGCGCGGCTCGCGTGCCGTTTCCCTTTCAGGCCGTGCGCCGGCGCCTCGGCCGCCACAACAAGTCATTTTATCGTGGGAGCCGACCTTGGCGGCGGCCGCTGCGGCCACGGCTGGCCGGTCCCACGTCCGGTCCGCCGCCGGTCCCCGGCCGTGGGGACGCCCGAGGACCAGCCACCCCTGGCTCCCGGTTACAGAGAACCCGTCACCGCCGACTCCCGGGCCGTGGGGACGGCCGAGGACCAGTCACCGCCGACTCCCGGAGCCGACTCCCGGAGCCGTGGGGACGCCCGAGGACCAGCCACCCCTGGCTCCCGGTTACAGAGAA